TCAAGACAGACTTTCACCAGGGTCTGGGGCGGCCAGGCTGGATGGGCTGCTTTTAAATCCACAAACTTCCCCGCGTCTAGCCCGTCAATCCAGGACGTCGTTTCTTCCCAAGATATCTCAGACGTTGCATATCTAAGTTGGAATCAGAGTTTCAACTCTGTCGCTATCTTCCTGGTAGGCTGGCTTCTCACCTTTTCCCCTCTCTGTCTTTTAAAAATGTCAGCCTCTCATCTCGGCTGTTTGTAGCGTCTCAGGAAACTCTTCTCACACTTTACTCACTTCCTCAGGGTTTCTGACTTCAGGGCGCCCCAGGCTAAGGCTGGCTGGTGAATGGAGGGTGGATCAGACTGATTGGCAAAGCTTTTTACAATGCATTTTTAACACACCTACTATGTATAGAAGGATTGAACGCATTCATTTGATGTTGTTATTATCAGAAATTAGTATAGGATTGCCTTTTTTGTGTCTGATTTTATTTTTACTCAAACACTGGTTTCAGTTAGAAATGAAGGCAAAAGCTTCATTTCAGAGAAATGAATGAAGGTCATGGTATAAATGTCATGATATAAATTTCAGTGAAATAAATGAAGTCACGATATAAATATAAATATCATGGTATAAATATTTTTAGAAGCCTTGATATAAATATGTATTGAATATCACAGCACGTCTTTCAGCTGATAGCCGTGGCCTGAGCGTGGAGCACCGTGAAATGCAGGAAACAAACCCAGAGGGGTAAGAAACATGCGAGGGAAGTTTCAGTGTTCTGGGGGGGTCTGGGACAATATCAAGACAAGACGGTAATGAGTGGTTCTGGGACTGCTTGTGGGGGCCAGTTAGAAAAAATTATGGAACCCCAAGGGACTAAAAAAAAAAGAGACGCACTTGGACAGGAGAAGAAGGGAGCAGTGCTTGAAAGCAGGAGGACCCAGGGGCATATTCCTGTTTCACCCCTTTTCGTAGGTCCAGGAGTGTTAGAGTCGTAACAACCAGCACACATCGTCATCAACGTCGTCATCATCACAACAAGTCATAATTGAAAGTCGTTGTGTTCACTGAATACTGTTTATGTTGTGCCAGGAATGGCACAAGATGCCATCCAAGCACTTTCTTAGTCACTTATAACAACCCTGCAGTGTAAGTATAAACTCCATTCCCAATGCAGAAACTGAGGCCCAGAGCCAAAATTCAAACCCAACTTTCTCCGAACGCACGGTGCTCAGACAATACTTCCCAATGTGGTGAGACACCCTGGGGGCTGGGGGAGGGAGCCTGCAGCAGCACCTACTGTGCATCTGGTACTGAAGGCAGGGACCCCGCCCCTTCCAAGCCCAAGTCAGGATGCAGCACACAGAGCCCAGAGCAAGAGACCGCTGGGTGGAAGGGGCTTTGAAAGTCTTCTGGTCCTCTAATTTCATTCCTGGAGACCCTGAGAGACAAAGGACTCAGGTTTCCATACAGCGGGTCCCATGCTTTTCCTACTTCTCTACAATAATTTTTATCCATAACAGCTACAGTTTATTGAGCATCTATTAAATCCAGCTTCTGCACTTAGTTACAAAGCTTTATTTCATTGAATCCTGACAATGTTGAATGATTGTTTATATTTTGTTGATGAAGAAACAGAGGCTTTGAGCAAACCCCTTGTTTGATGTTAAAAACAAATAATCAAAATAAAAACCCCAATAAGTTCTCTATAAAAGGCGCAGAATCGTCTTGCCTCTTCCTACCAAGCTCAGTCCTTGTTGTTTATAATCCTTTATGGTGTGCAGGCCTCTGCTCTTTCATGCTGTGTTTTGCCAAATTTTTTGCCTTTGTTTTATTTAATTTTATATGAACACAAACCCTAACTCACCACTCATTAAATGTTTTGTTAGCTTACACCATATCACATGGTGCATAAGCTTAGGTATGCAGTAGGTGTTCGATAAGTATTTTAATTCAACATTTATTCTGCGCCTACTGTATACCAGGCACAAGGTTTGATACCTTACATGTGGCGTTCCACTTACTTCTCACAATACTGTTATGACATAGCTAGTACATCCCCCACTTCATAAATGAGGAAATCAAGGTTCAGGATGGTAAAGTAGCCAGCCAAAGCTGGTTTGATGCCAGTCAGGTCTGATAAAGGAGAGGACTGGCCAATGAGATCCCTGGTAAAACCAAAAGCATAAAAAAGTAATCTGCTTCCCTCAAGTTAGACAAGCCTTCTGTCACCTTAGTGTTTAAGTCAATCAGAGATTTTCACTGGCAAGGAAAATATGCCTCCTTTTCTTAATGTAAAACAATGGCCAAAATATGATTAAACAGTCATCAAAAAGTCAGATCACATCCAGAGTAGAGATTACGATACGTGCTTAAATACACTTTCAGGCCAGGCTGTCACACCCTGGTCTCCTTCACGGGGACATTCTTTAAGGCTCTTCTATTCTCAGTCGTGTGATTACTGTTCCTTTTGCACATGTCAGCCAAAATGGGAGGAAAAAACTCATTTATTATGTCTAAAATGAGGTTAGTGGGTATTCCCTGCATGTTTAAGGCAAGAGCTTCGGCAAGGGAACAAGAATTAGGTGTCTCAGGTGCCAGGGCACCGAGGCTGCAGGCCTGTCCATGCTGACTTGCAGGGCAGAAAAAGCCCCTGCTTGTGCCTCTGCTGAGCATATCTAACCTGAACTCTTACGTTTTCTTACAAATGAGTCTGTTGGTCCCAGAGGGAGTTTTGAGGGCCTGACGAAGGTGGCCAGCCCACCACAACTGAGAAAAGTTCTTGCCGAACATTCATCAGTCCGCACTGCCGTTTTGTAGCTGAAGGACAGAACAGGGCGAGGGAATTACCTACAGCCAAGGCTCGTTCATCTGGATTTCATCTGAGCATCAGACATTACGGAGAGACGAAGTCTTGGAGGACGGGCCAGGCCCTGGGTGGACGAAGATGAACAGGGCGAAGTTCTAGATCTCAAACAGCTCATAGCCCAGTTTGGGGAGACTGTTCTTCATTCATGAAAAGCATGCATTACAGGTTAGTTTTAAAGTCATGATTTCCTTAAGAAAAAAAAAGGTAGCAGATTTAATGGATCAGTTAGAGATGTGTGTTCTTGGGTCCCACCTACTAGATCAGCAACTCTGTAGGGCCCAGAATTCTGCATTTGAATCAGCTCTCTGAATAATTCTGGTGCAGCCCAAGTTTGGGAACTGCTGTCTTAGAGCACGTGACACGGTGGTCACAGAAAGGGAGCAGGTGTCGGCAGGTGACAAGCCTGGAGACACGTGACACGTAAGAAGATTTGACAAAGGGATGGTACTGAAAAGCCTTCAAGCAAGGGAGCATCATGGACTTAATTTGCGTTTTAGAAAGAGCGAGGAGGAAAACGCACTGAAACTTTCCTACTTTAATGGTAGCGACTTGTGAGTGTTCCCTCTGTGGCCAGCCCCGCAGCAGCTCAGAAGGAACCCAAGCAAAACTGAAAGGCAACATCTGGGCCTCCTTCTGGTCATAGGATAAGCCCCTAGGAGTGATTTAGAACTTCAGCCATTTAGTGCCTTGCAAGATGGTTATTTCACTAATGCAATAAGCTTCTCAGAATAAGTTTAAATCAAGTGATAGCCCAACCACTTCTGATGTGACCACGACACATTCCTCTGTCAATGCCAGCCCTGTGAGCCCTTTATGTATATTGACTCATTTATTTCTTACAACAACCTTATGAAGTGTTATTATTATTCCCATTTAAAGATGTGGAAACCGAGGCACAGAGAGATCAAGCAACTTCTTGCTCAGAGTCATACAGCACAGAGAAATTAAGTAACTTGCTCAGGTGGCACACAGCTGCTCTGTGATACCCAGGATTTGAACCCAGACCAGTGCTTCACTTTTCACCATTACACCAACCATAATGTCCTGGTTTCTACGCTGTGGGCATGAAAGTCAGTTGCCTATTTGTGTTCTGTGTCTGTGGGGGGTGGGGTCCAGGGCTCCAGGAGGCATTAGGTATTTTCCAGAGGCTGAGTGTGATTCATTTACACTATGTTTGTAGTCTTCTCGAGGCCCCAGACAGAAACAAACTCACTGACACAGTAAACCACCTTCTGGTTATGGGGGAAAGAGGGTGGGTAGGGATAAATTTGAGAATTCATGAATTGCAAATATTAACTACCATATATAAAAATAGATTAAAAAAGAAAATTTCTTTTGGGCACAAAGAACTATATTCAATATCTTGTTATAACCTCTAATGAAAAAGAATATGAAAATGAGTATATATATGTATGTATATGCATGACGGGGACATTACACTGTACACCAGAAACTGACACATTGTAACTGACTGTACTTCAATAAAAAGAAGCCAGTGGGGGAAAAAACAGATATTGAATATAATTCCCTGTACTACACAGTAGGTCCTTGTTGTTTATCTGTTTTATATACAGTAGTGTGTATCTGCAGATTTTTTATTAAGATACAATCTACATATAACATTGTGTCAGCCTAAGGTGTACAACATGTTGACTTGAGACATTTATTGCAATGCGATTACCACCACAGCTATCATCTCTACACCTCACATACTTTCTTCTTGTAGTGGGAGCAATTAAGATCTACTCTCTTAGTAACTTTCACATTTATAACACGGTATTGTTATCTATAAGCAGTTTGCAGTGAATTAAATCTCCGTAACTTATTTATCTACTAGTTGCCAAGTTTGTGCCCCTAAACATCTCCCCAACTTCCCCTACCCCCCAACCCCTGATGACCACCATTCTGCTCTCTGTTTTTGTAAGTTCGATTTCCTTTAGATTCCACATAGCAGTGATATCATACAGTATTTGTCTTTCACTTACTTTTTATGTCAGAAAAATATGCTGTTATAAGTCAGGGTTTCAGGGTTTCTTTACTTGCAGCCAAACACATTTTCACATACTAAACTCTATTCTGCCACTGAGATCTCTCCTCCTGGTTTCCAAACACATATCCTGTGAACTGCGATCACAGATGACCTCTTTGGCCCCCAACATAAAGAAGAATGATTATTATCGAAAACACTCACAGACAATGAAGAGGTAGAGATCTTGTTGTCCCAAAATCTGGCTCCATACAGACAGAGTATCTAAAGGAAGCCCAGGCTTTCTTTCTGCAAAACATAAGAAGCACATGCATCCACTTTGCCATTATATTCTCTTTTTTTCCCTTAATTCCAGATGGAATGTACTTCCATGAAACCAGGTAAATTCATGTTATTGGAGGCAGAAGAAACTGGATGCCACTCAGAGGCATTTGAGTTTGTAGCTCTGCTCCTCGGCTGCCGTGTAGGGAGCAGTGGGGACTCCCACGCTGCTCTGACTTGATCTATGCTCTGTGGTCCTCAACTCAGCAAAGGCTAGGAGTGCAAATGTCCCCCTCAGGTCTCACTTTGAGGGCTGTGCCTTCACAGAAGAAAAAACTCCTCCTTTTTAATTTCTGGAATTCGTTACAAAGGACTTTTTCTTTCTTAAAAATTATAAAATGTGGGTTTGGGGATAGCCTTGGGAGTCATTTGGTTCAATCTCTGATATCATCTAAATCAAAATGAAAATCAGATTACCTTTATAAAAAAAAATTCCTTGAGGGGACAGATAGCCCAGCCATCATCTTTGGCAGAATTTAGTTTAATCAAACTGTGTGAAATATTTCCTCCTTTGGCCTCACTGAACCACCTTTCTTCAATTAAAAATGTAAAAGAAAAAAAAAAGAGAGAGAGAGAGAGAAAACCCAGAATATGACTTATTCTCAAAATAATATTTTATAGATTGCAGGTAAAGTGCTAACTTGCCTATCTTTCTTCCTTTCTCAAGATGGAACAAGTCCAAATAAGAATCTTATTAGAATCTTTCCATTTCCATCTTTCAGACTGAGGTTCAAGTAATATTATAATGTTAGGATGAGAAGGCCACACAGCCATACTCTGCTCACTTACCAATTCCTTTTCCATGTCTTTGTCTTCTGCCCTGTAGCCTGCATCCTTCCTTCCTTCCTTCCTCCTAAACACATACAGACACACATCTTCCATGGTCTTCGGGATTCCTCTGCATCTGAATGAAAAGGGAATATGAGTCTCTGAGACTCTCTGAATACCACCCAGGGGAATCCAGAGTCAGCCTTCAACTAGTTTGGCTGATTTCTATTGTGGGCCGTTTCATTTGCTCACTGTCTCCAGGATAGCCAGGTTATTATTATTATTATTATTAATTTTTGGTGATTTTCTTTCTTTTTTTAAAAAAAATTGAATTATAGTTGATTTGCAATGCTGTGCTATTTTCAGGTGTACAGCAAAGTGATTCAGTCATACCTACCTATATATGTATAGGTATATACGTTCTTTTTCAGACTCTTTTTCCATTATAGGTTGTTACAAGATAGTGAATAGAGTTCCCTGTGCTGTACAGTAGGTCCTTGTTTATTTTATATAGAGAAGTCGGGAAAAGGATATATTATTATTTTTTAATAAAGCAATTCCAACTAGACATGGGGCTGAACCTTCGAAAGAATGCATGCCTAGATATTTCCTGCCTTTCCCTGTTTTCTTCTTCTTTCTTTCTGTTCATCTCCATCCCCTTTTCCTGTATGAGAAAATGCATTTGACCAGCAGCCCACGCGGCCCCATCCATCAGGCTCAGTAAAGTCAGGGTCGGGAAGGAGAGTCTAAAAGTAGGGCTCGTTTCAGAATTAAGTGCAGGGTGAGCCAGAGTTATCGACAGAGACTCTCTCCCTCGTGATGGGTCTGCAGATTTACTCAGAGACTTGGAAGGCCTCAGGCTTTGAAGAAGAGCCATGAGGCAAAGCTGTGTCCCGGCCCAGCCAGTCGCCGCTCCCTGAGTGATGGGTTGACGCGCCCTTCCTCTGTCAGCACTACCATTTCCATCATCCCTAGGGACCAAAACAAGAGCAAAAGCCAAGAAAACCAGGAACTCCAAAGCAAATGGATCCCCTCTCAAGGTTCTGTAGCAGATTCTTCTTCAGAACGTGGCTGATTTTCCTTTGCATCTCAGAGCACAAGGGGAAGGTCCAAGTGCCTACCTGTCTCTGAAGAATATTATCTCTTTTCTAATTTTATTTACTCCCGCATCTCTCTTCTCCCTGAAAAAAACCTTTCTCTTCTCTTTATTTACCTTTTCCCTTCATATGAAGCATACACTGTAAAGACCACTACATAGATCCTTGCTTTTTATCTTCTCTATCTTTTTCCCCTTTCTGGTGCTCCTTTAATCACAGTGTCCATGAGGATTTCCACAATCTTATTAATATTTAACATATATTGTTAGTCTCCTGAGCCACCACAGAGACATATATTATCTCTTTGGAAGATTTAATGTCACCCTTAGTGATTCATATTCTCAATGGTATGCTTTCTACTTAGAAAAAAAAATCTTCTTCATCTCCAAATTAAAGCATTCTGTGCCCAGCTGAAGTTTCGACGCTTGGGCTGAAGGGGTGGATCGTAGACAACGAGGTTATTTATACTCTGTCCACCAGGGATCAGAAGTTTTTTACAGAAACTTCTGGAATTATTCAGCTCATGTCCTGTACTTATATTTCTTTTGAAGTGCCTTAAAATATAGACTTTAATTAAATTAAAAACTTAGAGAGCCCAGACGTATTTAACTTTGCACTGTCTTATAAGCAAAGTTTGCTCAGCAAGTAGATACATTACAAACCCAATATCATGGGACTGACTTACCTGTCAATGGAAACAAATTATTTTTTAAAAATATCTTAGCAGAAGAAAGTACCACAAGTACATAAACAGAAGAAACAGTGACAATGTCACAGCAGGCAGATTGCTAGATATGAGCAAAGAAAGGGGGGCACAGGCCAAATGGCAGGAAACCACACATCTTGTGAATAAGGGAGCTCCTTGGGCAGACAGAGAAAAGCAGGAACCTCTGGACTGAAAAGAAACCACACATTTTGGGGTGGCAGGTGGCCTGGAGGCAGACAAAGAAAGGTGGGAAATGGTAAAACTCTGATGTCCGATTGTAACCTTGTGCCCATCTTGCCTCCTTCTCTAATTGAAAAAGCTCCCCACGTTAGCGCCTTTTGTCTAATTTCCTACCTTGAGACTCTGTCTCTCCCTCTTCAATGTACCCCATCGGCACAAATTGGTATGTTCCTGCCAAAGTGTCCCTCTGCTCTCCAGTGAGCAGCACATTAGGTTCATCCCAGCACAGGTCACTCATGAATCACCAGACAGACTCCACCATCTGCAAACATCTTCTTTACAGGATCCTCAGGGTTCTTTGTTTGAGGGGGAGGATTGCATAAACAACACATTTCTTGATTTTCTGAGTTAATAACCAATTGTTATATGGATACATGAGACAGACAAAGATTTCAATTGAGTTGTTTGTTTTCATTGCTGAGTTTTAAGAGTACTTTAAAATTTTGGACAACAGTTATTTATCACATGTGTGTTTTACAAATATTTTCCCCCACTCCATAGCTTGCCTTCTCATTTTCTTCACAGAGCTTTTAATAGGGCAGAAGTTTTTAATTTAAATGAAGTCCAATTTGTCAATTTTGTTTTTCTTTCATGGATCATGCTTTTCATGTTGTACCCAAAGAAAGTCATTACCAACCCCAAGGAGACCTAAATTTTCTCCTGTGTTATCTTCCAGGACTTTTTAGAGCTTTGCATTTTGCATTTAGGTCTGTGATCCAGTTTGAGTTAATTTTCGTGAAAAGTATAAGATTTGCATATAGATTCTTTTTTTTTTTTTTTTGCATGTGATGATCAGTTCAGTTGTTCCAGCACCATTTGTTGGAGAAACTGTTTTTGCTCTGTTGTATTGCCTTTGCTCTTTTGTCAAATATCAGTTGACTATATTTAAGTAAATCTATTTCTGGGCTCTCTGTTCTAGTCCATTGATCTATTTGTCTATTCTTTCTCCAATACCACTCTGTGTTGATTACTGTAACTTCATAGTAAGTCTTGAAGTCAGGTAGTGTCAGTTCTCTGACTTTGTTCTTCTCCTTCAATATTGTGTTGGCTATTCTGGGTCTTTTGCCTTTCCATGTAAACTTTAAAATCAGTTTGTCAATATCCACAAAATAACTTGCTGAGATTTTGATGGGGTTGCACTGAATCTATAGATCAAGTTGGGAAGAACTGACATCTTGACAATATTGAGTCTCCTCATCCCCATGCACGGAATCTCTCTCCATTTATTAATTTAGATCTTCTTTGATTTCTTTTTATCGGAATTTTTGTATAGTTTTCTTCATACAGATCTTTGATTTTATTAGGTTGACACCTAAGTATATTTTTTTGGTTTGGGTGCTAATACAAATGGTGTGGTGTTTTTAATTTCATATTTCAGTTCTTCATTGGTGGCATATAAGCAAGCAATTACTTCTGTACATTGGAAGTAGATTTTAAAGATCAGATTTATTACTGAGTAAAGCTGGATTTGAGGATATGAACACAACTGTGACTTTAAAGCTGCATAGTAGACTAGATCATCTTGTCTCTCCACTTTAGACACAGCTGAATAAACACACGTGACTGCCAGACTGCCCCAGGGAGATCATCACAGAGAGAAGAGGAGGTGTCCTGAGGACAGGCCCTGGCACAGAGAGAGAGACAGAGACAGAAAGAGAGAGAGAGAGAGAGAAGCCTGGGAGGGGCCCATCCAGCCTTACCATCAGATTCTTCTCCTCTCAGGTGCAGCAATGGGGCCAGAGAACGAGAGACACAAGGAACATGACTCTAGCAGAAACTGCCCATCAGGGATACACAGGACTGTGGAATAGAAACTCCCTCCAAAATGCCACACTAGCCCCTCTAATTTGAAAAGACTAAAAAAACAAGACAGAAAGCAAAAACTGAAAGTCATCTCCGAAAGTAATTTGCTGTGCGTTTGTGTGTGTATTTGTACATTCCTTATATCATGCATATCAAACCTCCACAAAATGAGTCCTATTAGAAGCTGTGGTATATTTATACAATGGAATGCTACTCAGCCAAAAAAAGAATAAAATAATGCCATTTATAGCAAAATGACCTAGAGATTGTCATTCTAAGTGAAGTAAGCCAGAAAGAGAAAGAAAAATACCATATGATGTCACTCATATGTGGAATCTAAAAAAAAGAAATAAAGAAGACACTAATGAATTCATCTACAGATGAGACTCACAGAAACAGACTCACAGACATAGTAAACAATCTTTTGGTTATGAGGGGAAAGAGGAGGAGAGGGATAAATTTGGGAGTTCAAGATAGGCAAATACTAACTACTATATATAAAACAGATAAACAACAAGGTCCTATTATAGCGGGAACTGGATTCAATATCTTGTAGTAACCTATAATGAAAAAGAATATGAAAATGAATATATGTATGTATATATATGACTGAAACACTGTACTGTACATCAGAAATTAACACATTGTAACTGACTATAATTCAATAAAAAATAAAAATAAAAACATTATCTTCTAAGATCTGAGCTTCTTACATACATGGTATCTCATCAAAAATTCTGCTTTTTTTCTTTTTAAGTAGTGTGCCACTTAATATAAATTATTAATCATAACATGGGGACCAAAAAAAGCCACTTGTGTATGTCACCACTCAGAGTTCAGTATTTCCTTCTATGCAGATATATATACATATAAGCATGTGTTTTAAAAGAGGATTATAATATTTCTCCATTTTTATAACCTGCTTTTTAACCTCATGTATCTTGAAAATCCCTGCATCATTAAGTAGTCTTCCACAAGATAACTTTTGGTGACTGGGCGCTATTCCGTTATATGGTTCTGTGTGTGCACCGTGATTTACTGTCTACTCTGCTGCTTAGACAATTAGGTTGTTCTCTGTCTTAAACAATCCTGCATGAGCATCTATGTTCATAAACCTATGCACAAGGGTCTAATTATTTCTTGAAGTTACAACCCTAAAAATAAACTTCCAGCATTACTACGTATGCCCATTTTTTTTAGTCTTTTGAAACATTTTGTCCATCTATGCTCTCACTTGCAAAAATTCTTAATGAACGGATTCTCCCAGTTTTCCAGTAATTCTCTGGTAAT